TAGTAGTTCAATAATTCTTCCTTCCTGTAACCATGGGTCAAACCAAAGGGAAGTGGTCTCTCCATTCCCAATAGATTTCATAATGCATTTCAGAGCTTGATTTTTGAGACTAGATATATGCTTCCAGGTTCCAGAATCCAACAGATTTGTATTAGATTCCCAAAAATTGTCTCCCCTGATATATCTGACATTCATCCAGTTTGTCCAAAGAGAATTAGCTGTAAGAAGTCTCCATATCAATTTAAGGGCAGCTGCTTGACTTAGATCCTTCAATCTTCTCAGACCAAATCCCCCTTCCTGTTTTGGTCGACAAACTTCCTTCCAGTTGATAGCATGAAACTGTCCAGACCAAAGAAAATTTGCAAAGATAGATTCCAGGTTTTGTATAATGGAATGAGGGAATTTATATACAAAATACCAGTAAGCAGAGGTACTGAATAATACTGATTTGATGAGTTCTAGACGACCTGCAAAGGATAAAGAATGAGACATCCAACCTTCAATCTTATGTCTGACCTTGTCAATAAGTGGAAGAAAATCCTTTGTTTTTGGGTATTTTGCAGATAAAGGTAATCCTAAATATTTCATAGGAAGAGTCCCTATTGAAATTCCCACAATAGAGCTTAACACTCCTTTACAGTTGCATCCTTTGCTGAAATATAATTTGCTTTTCTTTCTGTTTATACACAGTCCAGTATTCAAAGCCATAGTATCCAACAGATTATTGATACCTTCAAAAGATTTTTTATTTGCTCTACAAAAAACCAACATATCATCTGCAAACAATATATGAGAGACTTGAAGATCATGTTGAGTTTTAAAATTCTGTATTTTCCCTGAGATAACTGCTAGCTCCATACCAATAGACCAAAATTCCATGACCATAACAAAGATATAAGGAGATAGAGGATCCCCTTGTCTAATACCTCTATTACTTTTAAAAAAACCTGAGGAGGAACCATTTAAGAGGATAGAAAAGGAAGGAGTGGAAAGACATGCTCTGATCCAAGAAATCCATTTAACAGGAAAGCCCATACAATGCATAACATAGTATACAAATTCCCTGTTGATGCTATCAAAAGCCTTGTGAAGATCAATTTTAAAACAGGCTCTCTTGCCATGATTCCTATTGAAATCTCTAAGTAATTCATGAGCAAGTAAAGAACACTCACCAATATGTCTCCCCTGAAGAAAAGCATGCTGATTCTTTGAAATTAATTCCCCAATCACCATCTTTAATCTATTGGCCAGAATCTTAGTAATAATCTTATAAATGACATTGCAACATGAAATAGGTCTGTAATCTTGAATGGAAGTAGCTTCCTTTGATTTCGGTACAAGAGTGAGAAATGTATGATTGATCTGCTTAAGAATTGTACCAGATTTGAAGAAAGATTGCACTGCCAAGACAACATCACCACTGATCATGTTCCAATTTTGTTGATAGAAATATGCGTTGAAGCCATCTGGTCCTGGAGCCTTATCTGCATTCATTTGGAAGAGGGCATTTCTAATCTCTTTGTAGTTAACTTCCTGAACTAACCATTGTTTAGACTCAGCAGTCAGAATCCTCTTTACTGTCAATTTAGGAAAGACATTCCAGTAAGATGTCTGATTGAAAAGATCTTCATAAAAGCTGGCAGCAATGTGTTTAATATTGTCATTTGAAGTGATATGTGATCCATTTTGAGCAGTAATATGTCTGATACAATTTGTAGAATTTCTATGCTTGATAGCATTATAGAAGAATAGAGTGTTTTTATCTCCTTGCTGAAGCCATAGTTGTCTACTCTTCTGCCTCATTTCCTCTTCTTCTCTACATAGCCAACCATCTAGTTCAGTAATTATTGCAGATTCTGAGTCCTGTAGGTCCTCATTATGAAAGTCCTGATTTAGCTTCTGTTGAATGATATCCAATTTGTTTTTAAGCTTCATAATGTTAGCTTTAGGAGATATATCAGACTGATTTGTCCATTGCTTCAATGTCAGTTTAAGATCCTTAAGTTTAGAAACCAAAATAAACATAGGAGAACCTGTGTAATGTTTGTTCCAAACACATCTGAGAATATCTTCATAACCCTGACATTGCATCCAGAAATTAAAAAAATCTGAAAGGTTTTGGTCCAGACTGTAATTTGGGTGTCAGATGAAGGAGCGCTGGAGTATGGTCACTAGTTGAAGTACTCTTATATTCTATAAAGGCTTGAGGAAATTGATCAAACAATTTAGTATTTCCCAGACCTCTATCCAATTTACCATATATTCTGCCTTGACCTTGTTGTTTATTATGCCATGTCCATAGAGAACCAGTGCTCTTGATATCAGATAGACCACATGATTGAATACAATCATTAAAATCCTGGAGTTTCTTAACAGTAAGATGTCTACCTCCAATTTTTTCTGTAGTAAATCTACAAACATTGAAGTCCCCCACAAGCAACCATGGCATTGATTTAAATTTATCATAGATGTCTCTAATATCAGCCCATAATGATAATCTTGCAGATTCTGAATTTTCCCCATAAATGACACTCAACAATAAGTTGAAACCTCCTTTGTTTTGAAGTCTAATGGTTATAACTTGTAAAGTAGCAGATAATACATCACCATTCCAGACATCAGAATCCCATACCACCCAGATTCTACCTCTATCAGAAGCAAAATAATTGTTGCAAAAAGACCAATGAGCAGGAATACATTTAGTAATTCTGTAAGCTTTAGATGATTTGACTTTTGTCTCTAATAAACCAACAATACTGGGCTTTAAAGATAAAATATGATTTTTAATATCCCTTCTCCTTCCCAATTTATTCATGCCTCTAACATTCCAAAATAACATAGTCATAAGATATTAGCAGAGGAGGATCTTGTAACCCTCTTTGTACCTGAGGGGTCTTTATTCACTTTGACCTGGCTTTTCTTCTTCATAATCAGCTGGTCTTTTTCTGTTATCCAGTCAGGATTATCAACAGCAATAGTAAAATCTAATCCTTTCTCTTTTGAATTATCCCCATCAGATTGCAAAGAATCCAAAAAAACTGCATTATTTTTAGTCTGTTCTGATTTATTCTCAGTAATAGGAACATCTGTAACTGTAATGTCAGAGGAACCTGGTATATCTTCTAAGATATTAGTAGAGACAGATTGTTGAGGATCATGAATAAAATCATAATTGTTTCTATTAACAGCAACCTTGTTCATAGTATTAGATTTCCGTGGCAGCTCTGCTTCCAAGGTATCAGTTGTATCAGTGTAAGGAGATTTATCTTTCATAGATAACTCTTGGGCATTTAATTTATTATTTTTAGTCTGTTCTGATTTCATATATATAAGAATAATCAGTATCCTTATCATAGGAGGGGATTTCCTCCTTAAAAATGATGTGGCACAATCCCCACCATGTGATATTATCTCTTCTACTTTATTCACATGGTGGGGATTGTGCCACATCATTTTTAAGGAGGAAATCCCCTCCTTGACATAGGATACCCATTATTCTCTCTCTCTCTCTCTCTCTCTCTCTCTCTCTCTATATATATATATATATATATATATATATATATATATATATATATATATATATATATATATATATATATATATATATATATATATATATATATATATATATATATATAGAGAGAGAGAGAGCGAGAGAGAAGAGAGAAGGTTCTTATGTCAACTAAGTAGACTCATCCAACCCAATCCTTTCTATCCCATTGATGATAACTAGGGATCGCATGTAAGATATGAAGAGACTTTATAATATATATATATATATATTATATATATATATATATATATATATATATATTATATATATATATATATATATATAGAAGAGAGAGAGAGAGAGAGAGAGAGGAGAATTCTTATGTCAACTTAATTGACGCATCCACCAATCTTTCTATCCATTGATGAGATACATATGGATCCATGTAGGGAGGATATGAAGAGACTTTATATATCAGTATATATATAATAAATAAATAAATAAATAAACTGATATATATACTAGTATATATATATATATTATATATATATAATAAATTAGAATAAATAAATAAAATATATAAAGATATGAAGGATCCTTGGCCCAAGTATACCCATATTCCTTGAAGATGGCGTGTTATTTCTTGTTTACTTTTATGTAATTTTTTTATCTTTTATTTACTGTGATTTTCCTACTTTTCTACTCTTAAACACAAGGTCCGAAAGGGAAAGGGTTCGATTTGATTATTTCGAATCCCCAATAATTGATATCAGAGCTTCGTTCAGAAGGATTGTGAGAGAGCCATGGCAGAGGAAAGCAAATCTAAGATCGAGAAGTTTGACGGTTCAAACTTCGCCTACTAGAAGTCGCAGAAGGAGGACTATTTGTACCAAAAGGACTTGTATCACTCGTTGATGGGCAAGGCTAAGGGAAAGAAGAAAGAAGAGTCAGACAAGGATTAAGAGATACTGGATAGGAAGGCTCTAGGGCAAATCTGGTTGTCACCCGTTAAGACAGTTGCACACAACATATTGAAGGAGAAGACGACGGTGGGGCTTATGGAAGCACTCCCCAAGATGTACGAGCAACCATCTATCGCAAACAAGGTGCATCTCGTCAAGACACTCTTTAATCTTAAGATGACAGAAGGATGCTTCTTCACAATGCACCTCAGCGAGTTCAACACGATTGTTGATCAACTCATCTCCATAGACATCACGTTCGATCTTCACAATGCACCTCAGCGAGTTCAACACGATTGTTGATCAACTCATCTCCATAGACATCACGTTCGATAACGAAGTGCAGGCCCAGCGAGTTCAACACGATTGTTGATCAACTCATCTCCATAGACATCACGTTCGATAACGAAGTGCAGGCCCTATTGATTCTATCGCATTTACCGGATAGTTGGGCAGGTTATGTGACGACAATAAGCAATTTGGCGGGAAAGGACAAGTTAAAGCTGAGCGAGGCTGTTAGCATGATTCTATCTGAGGAGGTTAGAAGAAAATCGTTCGAATCAGAAGGTTCAGGTTCAGCCCTAAATTTTGAGCAAAAAGGCAGAAACCAAAAGAAGGGGAATCAGAACAGGAATCAGTCGAAGTCAAACAAGAAGAGGTCAAACTCGAAAGTTAGTCCTATCAAAAGGAAGTGTTAGAACTACGATCAGGAGGGCCATATGTCTTCAGCTTGTAAAGCACAAAAGAAGGATGTGAATGAGCAGGAGGTTCATATCGTGCAAGATGCATTGATCCTACCTATGGACATCGATTCTAATTCCTGGGTTATCGACTCAGGAGCCTCGTTCGACGCCACTGCTAATAGGTAGCTTCTTCATAACTATGTAGCAGGAGACTTTGGGAAAGTATACTTAGGAGATAATGAACACTGTAGTGTTGTTGGAAGAGGATATGTGCAAATACAGTTGAAGGGCTCCAAGTGGAATCTGAAGAACATGAGGCACGTACCAAAGCTGAAGAGGAATCTTATTTCGGTTGGCCAGCTTAGAGAAGAAAGCTATGTTTCGACATTCACCAGGGATTCGTGGAGGATGTCAAGCGGTACTATGGTTATTGCCCGAGGCAACAAAACATGAACTCTCTACCTCACCTCACATGCGAGTGACACCCTCGCAATGACAGCTGGCAAAGAGAGTATAAATCTGTGGCATAATAGATTGGGACACATGAGCGAGAAGGGGATGAAGATTCTACATTCACAAGGGAAGATAACCGACATCGATTCCGTGAAAGTCAGTGTTTGCGAGGACTATATCTTTAGGAAGCAAAAGAGAGTTAGTTCCAGAATGGTGGAAGGTCACCTAAAGCTCAGAAGCTAGAGTTAGTTTATACTGACGTATGGGGTCCAACTAGCATGTCTTCTCTTAGCGGTTCGAGGTACTATGTCACATTCATCGACGATCACTCGAGGAAGGTGTGTGTATACTTCATGAAGAACAAGTCAGAGGTGTTCGTGATATTTAAAAAATAGAAGGCCATGGTGGAGAACGAGACAGATCTGAAGATGAAGTATCTAAGATCAGACAACGGTGGAGAATACGAGCTGGAGGAGCTCAAGAGGTTCTATGCTCTAAATGTGATTCGTTTGGAGAGGACTACTACAGGGACGCCGCAGCAAAATGGTTTTGCAGAGAGGATGAACATGACATTGACGGAGCGTGCCAGAAGCTTGCGATTACATGCAGGTCTGCCTAAGACATTTTGGACGGATGTGATGCATATTGCAACTTACTTGATTAATCATGGGTCATCAGTTCCATTGGATTACGGGATTCCATAGGAGGTTTGGAATGGTAAGAAGATCAATCTCTCACATTTGCGAGTATTAAATTGTATGACATATGTTCATAGCAGTGACCATGTCAGGGATAAGCTAGAGGCTAAGTCACAGAAGTGCACATTCATTGGATACAACATTGATGAGTTCGGGTATCGTCTTTGGGATAAGAAGAACATAAAGATCATCAGAAATAGGGATGTGATATTCAATGAAGAGGTAATTTACAAGAATAGGAACAGTGCCAATGATAGCCAAAGTAGTGAGAGCAGCACTTCGGATACAGGTGAATCCGAGTACATGGATTTGGAGGAACTTCTAGATGGGGGCGATAAAGTCAATTCTGACCGAAAAACGGAGGATGCTTCAGGTGCAGAGAGACTACCCAGGGCGTGGAGCTTAGGAGGTCATCCAGGGTACCCAAAATGAATCCCAGATATCTCTTATCACTTGATTATTTACTTTTGACAGATAGAGAAGAACCGGAGTGCTATGAGGAGGCTATGCAAGTGAATGAATCTCAGCAGTGGGAGCATGCGATGTAAGAGGAGATGGATACTCTACACACTAATGAGACATGAGAGTTAGTCCAGCTACCTGCACAGAAGAAAATATTGCATAACAAATGGGTCTATCAGGTCAAGCAGAAGAGTAATGAAAGTAAGAGATACAAAGTTAAATTAGTCGTGAATAGTTCCAACAGCGGGAAGGAGTGGACTATAGTAAGATATTTTCCCCCGTTGTGAAGCTCACCACCATCAGAGTGGTGTTGACCTTCGTAGCTACAAAAGCTCTCTACCTTGAGCAGTTAGATGTGAAGACTGTCTTTCTTCATGGTGACTTGGATAAAGAAATCTACATAAAGTAACATATTGGCTTCATCAAAGAAGGAAAGGAAGAGATGGTGTGTAAGCTCAAGAAGAGCTTGTACGGATTGAAACAAGCCCCGAGACAGTGGTACAAAAAGTTCGACAACTTCATGCTGAACAATGGCTATAGAAGATGCAATTCAGATCATTGTTGCTACTTCAAGAGGTTTGAGTCCAGTTTTATTATTGTTATTGTATGTTGATGATATGTTAGTTACATGACCGAGTTTAGAGGAGATAAACAACTTAAAGAAGCAGTTGGCAAAGGAGTTTGCTATAAAGGATTTGGGTACAGCGAAGAAGATTCTAGGGATGCGAATCAGTTGAGATAAAGCTAAAGGGACGTTGAGGTTGAGTCAAGTTGAATACATTGAGAATGTACTTCATAGGTTCAACATGCAGAATGCTTGTTAGCATACCCATTGGAAGCCAATTCAAGTTATCTGAAGAACAATCGCCTAAGACAGATGCAGATAGAGAGCATATGAGCACGGTGCCATATTCTTCGGTCATTAGGAGTCTCATGTAAGCGATGATTTGTACGAGGTCGGGTATTGCCCATGTAGTGGGAGTTGTGAGCAGGTTTACAAGCAATCTAGGGAAGCAACATTGAGAGGCCGTGAATTGGATATTGCGCTACTTGAGAGGGACTACGGACAAGCCACTATGTTTCAAAAGGAAGGAGTTGATACTGTAGGGATACGTGGATGCGGACTTCGCCGGTGATCATGATACGAGGCAGAGCACTATGGGGTATGTTTATACCTTAACGTCGACAGTAGTGAGTTGGGTTTCACGTCTGTAGAAGATTGTAACTTTGTCTATAACTGAAGCTGAGTATGTCGTGGTGACTGAAGCAAGCAAGGAGATGATTTGGTTGAACGAGTGCCTAGAAGAGTTAGATTTGAAGCAAGGGAGATGAGTTCTTTATTGTTACAGCCAGAGCGTTATACATCTTATCAAGAATCTAGTATATCATGTCATAACAAAGCACATCACCGTACGATACCATTTTATACGCTCGCTGATTGAGGACGGAAAGTTACATCTAGAGAAGATTTTGGGGAGTCAAAAACCTGCGGATATGTTAACGAAAGCAGTGACCGTTGATAAATTTGAGTTGTGCGCAACTTTAGTTGGCCTTCACGTGTAGGAGATGAAAGCGGAACCACACCAGGAGGATCGCCGGGATCGTCGGGTTGATGATGATTGAAGAATGAATTTTTCCATGTAGGAGGATGCTTGCGAAGAAGGGAGAGTTCGGGTGAGCTCGTTGATTGTGCTTTGATCTCCAAGTAGGAGATTGCTAGTCTAAGGCAAAGCTGGAATCAAACAAATTGTTGGATTTTGGTAACATGATTCTTAATCTGGTTTGGTAACATGTTATTAGGATTCCTAATCTGTTTTGTTTTATAGTTTTAGAATTCCTAGTCTATTTTGGTTTTAGGTTTTCTATATATATTGAACGCCTTAGAAGAGATTAGACATCAGAAAAGAGGGTTTTGAGAGAATTCTTCAGAGAGGTCTCAGAGATATTAGATCCTATTGTGGGCATTGTAATCTTCTTCAATATTAATCAAAGAATTGTGTGGTGTGGCTCCCGAGGATGTAGGCACGATTGCCGAACCTCGTTAAATCTGGTGTGCTCTTTCTTGTTTACTTTCCTGCAAGTTTTTTATCTTTTATTTGTTGTGATTATTCCTACTTTCCTACTCTCAAACACAAGGTCCGGAAGGGCAATGGTTCGATTTGATTGTTTTGAATCCCCAACAAAGTTGACATAAATTCACCTCTCTCTATATATATATATATATTCTCTTCATATGTAGCACTGATACAGGCCTTTTACTATCACCCAGCAAAGTAACTTTAATTAATTAAACATGATTAATACGCACCTAGATATTGCTTTTGAAAAAGTAATCATGAAAACGGGCACCGAAGGAAAAGTCACCACTGAAGAAAGAAAGGAATATTTATCACCAAGGACAAACTTTCTGGAAAGATAAGACAAAAGAGCAGAAAGTGACTTAAGTCCTATCTAACTAAACTAAAAATTCAAGCAATTAAAGTCTCTAGCTTGACTTTAAGGCGGAGGGGAAAAGAGAAAGGAGAAGACATGAAGAAGAAATTTGAGCAAGCTTAGCTAATGAATGTAGTTTAGAAGAAATTTTCAAAATTGTCTCAGCAGAATTTTTTTTAAAGAAATAGACCTCATTCACTTTTAATTATAGAAATCGATCAACTTTGAGTTAATTGCGGTACTAATTAGTCAGGGTTGCCAACCCCGACTAATTAGTAGCCTAATTACAAGCGGGGTCAAGGAGTGGAGAAGGTTTGCAGCTGCTAATTAGGCTATTAATTAGTTAGGGTTGGCAACCCCGACTAATTAGTACCGTAATTAACTCAAAGTGGGTCAATTTTTATAATTAAAAGCGAATGGGGTCGATTTCTTAAAAAAAAAAATTCCGTTGAGGTGATTTTGAAAATTTCTTCATGTAGTTTAACCTATAAATTTTATATTAACAAAATATCAGTTGAAGAACACCATATTAAATTGATAATTCCAGTAAGTTTTATTATCTTTCTTTCTAAGGTTAATAATGTCATCCGTTATTTAGTTTAAAAAAAAGAGAACAAAAACAATATATACTAATTAAAGAAAGTTATCTTATTTGGTTACAATGTCATACATATACCAGCTAAAATCACCAGGAACTCTAACCGCGTCTTGTGTTATTAACTAAAAGAGAACAAACTTTTTGTATATAATTTGAATATATTGGAATAAAATTTTGATATGAAGGAAAGCTTCAATTAGATTAAGTTATTGATAGCTCTGAAACAAGTCCCTATATCTTGTTCTAACCTCATTGTATGAGCCAGGGGTATGGTTTTCTTTTTCCAAATTAAAGAAAGTTTGGGAGAGTGAGAATTAATTAGCACAAATAATAGAATAGATATTCCTAATTCAGTCACAAACATTAAAAAAAATTAAGGATTGAGAGTACCTTAGGAAGAGTTAGGTCCTCAGCAAATCGAAGAGATTCTTTCATTGAAATTTCACTATAAGAAGCGCAGATGCTGCAATCTCAGGCTCCTCGTGATCCTTGCGTCGTCAACCTCTGCTTGCTCCTTCGTTCAAGTCTCCAACTCTCACAATGAAATGATGACTTATAAGAGTTTTATACATACGAGGACAATTATGCATGTATGAACTGTAAGCACGTGCGGGCCGCCCTCATAATTCATCTCCTACGGTCTGGTCTTCCTGTTTACTCATCATTAATTTATAGAATAATATTGGTTAGCTTATTACTTATATAAATATTGAGTATTCACATTAATCATGCCAATAACTGTCTCAGAACCTGTATGAGCTGAGGGAGCCTAATAATTTTCAGGTTTAAGTGTGACCCACATGTTATGGCCATCCTAGACACCTGATTCAATGCACTCAAATTATCTGTTCATGTTTTTTTTTTTTTGTTTTCTAACTTTTAGAGTTAAATAATTATAACAATAAACTTCTCTGGAATTATGGAGTATTGATGCAGTAGAAGATATTTTAAGTTGGGGCCCGTTTGGTTCCCTTGGAAAATCTGGCAGCCTTCAGTATAATCAGCCCAAAACATCTTATTTTGGTGAGAATCGGTTAGATGTTGCCACCTAGATTGTTTCACTGTCATGTCAGCCTCTTAACTGCACAACCAAATAGAGTAAACACGTGAAATGCACCGTAGCCTACGGTGCATTTCATAGAAAAACATCATAACCAAACAGTTAGTATCAACGCAATTCATATTCAAATTCATCAACTTCAAATGTAAAACGAATTCGTTAAATAGACAATGTTGTGTAAAAATCATTCATGTTTTGATCCATGAAAATGATGTTCAACCTATAGAGATATGTTAAGAATATAAAATTATAACCCTCAATCTTCATCATAGTTTTAGAGTTTTGATATAATGTAAGCTGAGTTTAAAGACTACGTATTAAGAAGGAACTCATCCAGATCACAC